GATGATCTAGGTAGAACGCATTTCTACCTAGAGAATCTAGCGAATATAAACTTCAGTGGTTCCTACACCTAAAGGGCACCATTTTATGTTTCCGAAGTGTAAACACTGTCTTCTGAAAGCAGACAACAGCCACTTTAAGAAAATTGTTTTTTAAAAATATGATGAAATGCAAATCAATATTAACGAAATTCAGTGATTTCTTAACCGCAAGGACATAGTACTATATAATACCGACGAACCACTTCCAAATCGGTATTTCAACTCATGAACGATGTCACCACTTCAGACAACTCTTACTCAAAATGCTAACAGACATCCTAATCAATAATACTGCAGTATGACAGGTATTGTCAAATAGCCCTTCGAAAATGGACACCTAAGCAGTATGGGTATTGCATCGAACCCCATTTGCAGATTCTGCAGAACTGGAGTCACCAAAGCACATGTCAGAAAACGGCGATACATATATAGACAAAAGTCAATATTTCTTAGAAAAACATTTAATACCAGGCAAAGAATTAGCAAAGCTAAATCTAACAGGCATGACACTTGAGTTCATTTTTTGCAGAAATCGCTATTGTAGATCTCCAGATCGCAATATTTTATATACTTCAAATGCACAATACAAGACAATGGCACTTCGAATATGAATATGGTATAGTGGTACTTTTTAGTCTAGAGACATCACACCTAGAAAACAATGTAATTAAACGTGCTTACATATGTTATATAGTAGACTCTGTGTATTTACATATTTTATATAAAATATATTATATTAATATTTTTTTAAATATTATATTATTCTATTAAATATTATTTTTGTATGTAATATTAATTTATCTATATCATTTTTCGTATATTATCTTTTATAAATTATTTTTTTATATGATAATTATATATATCAGTTCTTTTATATATTCTTCATACATATATTGTTATTATACTTATTTTTATATATTTTTTATATTAATATTATTATTATATATATTATTTTGTATACAAATTATTAATATATATTTTGATTTAATATATAACATAACATGTTAATATATTTTTTTTTATATATCATTTTATGTATAGTTTTTTATTTATTACTTGTCTATTTATACATTACTTTATTATAATTATATATTTTTATATTATTTTATTATATTTGTTTTTTACATTTCTTGTATATTAATAATATATGTAAATTATATTATTTTTTATTTAATGATATATTTTTTTTTTTTTAATTAATTTTTTTATAAATATATTTACCAATGTTTCAATATCGATGCCATTATTTCGAAAGACCTCATTCGCCACGTGATTGTTTACCGAAAACACGCGTTCCCCTGGTTTATATTTCTTCAAGTACATTGCGATAGCCTTATTGGGATTTATGACGTCTTCCTTAATTTATAGATCAATAATTAAATTAAAATTAATTCAAACAACTATTTTTAAATATTTTACACTTTTTACTAAATTAGTGCCGACTGACGCAAATTTTTCCAAAAATTGTTCGTCGTTATTGAAGGAATTATTTGTAACGAAAATGCATTTTTTCCCCTCGGATTTTAAAAGATTTATAGTTCTCCCAGTATTGGGCAAGGGGCTCAATATTAGCCACACTACACCATCGCAGTCACTTAAAACGAAATCAAAGGAATTTATGAAATCTTTCTGTTCTTGGACTGAGAGTTCCAAAATATGCCGAGAAGTTTTTGTATGCATTTTATGTATCTCTGATGTCTGCACCTGACGTTGTCCGTACTGCAACAGGCGATGTCAATTCTTTGAATTCTTTGCTTTCTTTGAATTCTTTATTTAGTGCTGTATTCTATCAGATATGTAGATTTTATAAGATAATTTTTGTAAGATAAAAATTAATTTCGGGTGTTATTGCTAAAATAAACCAGCAACAGCGTACTCTATTGGCTTTACATCGATAAGGTTTCGAAAAAATTTAGGAAGAATTGAATAGGTTAAAAATATTTAGCAATAACATTGCTAGAAATTATATATATCTATCCGCTTAAGAATATATATATATGAAAGTAAAAGTAAAATAAAAGTGTATAAGAATTATTTTTTATATTTTTATTATCTACATTTTAAAAGTTTAAAGTAAAAGATATATTTAATATTTATTTTAATCTAAACGTAGACATTCTCCATCTATTCTATATATATATATATTCCAATATATATATTATATATGTATATATATATATGTTTATATATATATTCTAATAAAAAACATTATTAAAATATATTTTATATAAGCAATTAAATTTATAATATTTCATAGTTTCATCTGTAAGAATTGGGTAATAGTGCTAATTAAAAAATAGGCCGAACCATTATCCTTTTTGATCCGCTGGTCAATGTTGGCAACTAGTAATTCAGTCTTCATTATTACCTAAATCACAACAACTGCTAGAGAAGAAAAAAATCGAAATACTAATAGAGTAGATTAAATATATTTAAATATTAATTGTTAAAGAAGTGCAGGATAGGGAAAAGGCTACTTTTTTTTTATATGGAGAGAGACATTTTCAGCATTAAAATAAACAATTTACTTTAATATTGAATTGAGATCTACTTACGATTCAATCAACTTGACTTTCCTAATATTGAATATCAACAACATGAAAAATATCAAACTCATAATTTGAAAGTCATGAGCAAGGTCACAAGGTATATATCTTTGGCTCGTCTCACTGGCACTGTTACCCAAATAAATGGTACCGTTGTCATACCATAATTTTAAGAAATACTATCTGTCTTGGACCGGAAAATAGGTATTAAAACTACTTATGTCTCTAATAGCTAAACGATTCATATAAAATAAAGGAAGTAAAACTCTAGAGTGAGTGTACGTCTTTTAAAGAGTGTCGGACAATGATAAAGCAAATTATTAACGTGTTTCACATTCTCGGATACGGTTAGGGACACAGCTACGACAGTATTTGTTGAATGAGTCCATTAATAATTTGGTCGGCATCCCTGCTTTCAAGATAGTATTCTGTGGGTAAGAGAATTATTTATAGTAATCGTATTGAGTTACTTCTAAATCAGAGAAACTTTTTTCGTCCTCCTCCTACGCACAGCTACGACAGTTGTCGTTGAATGATGCCTGATGATATACATATATATAAGTACTCGATTACTTTTTTGATATATATATGCTCTGTCCATATTCTTGAATAAAGACAGATTGTAGCGCAATTCTTACGGATCGTTATAATTTCATATTTTATATGCAAATAGTATTTACTCTCAGAGATAAGAACTTGTCTATTATATTTGTTTAGCACATAATTGGACTATAAATGAACTGTACGTCATTTATTTAAGAATTTTGCATTATTTAGAGCTACAAACAACAGAACACGTAAATATAGAATGGGTTATGATTGTTCACTTTAGTTTTCAGATTTATATCTTTATTACGATTGTCGGGAATATATGTCTGTAGTGTGTATATACCTTAGACATGTAAGTTTATTTTGTGGTGTGAATTTTTCCACGGGTATATGGGATGTATTAGATTTAATTATTCCAAAAACAAATTTAACTAACTCATTCTATACTTTTTACATAGATGTGTATAATATATTAACAAGAGTATTTTATGTCTATATATTATGAAAGATAAATGTCTTAACTGTTACGTAGTGTTATAATATTTATATTATCTTATATGGAAAAAATTTAAAATAAATAATTATAAAGTTAATCATTAAAACAAATATGAATATATCTTCGTATTGTTTATTTGAGATTAATTCACGTAAAGCGCTCATGAGAATTTCACGGTTTTGTCATGTGAATGGATTTGCGGTCCATTCGTAATATAAACGTGTTCAGAAAGTGGCTTCAAACTGATAAAGTAATAGGTATTTATTATAACATCAGTAATGTTTTTTTTTAAGCAAGTCATTTATAGGATCGCGGCTGAACGATCACAGTTAACTGAAAAACGTTTTTAGGTTCAAATTTCTTCAATTTTTGGAGAAAGTTTTTTAGTATTTTTTACAATCTCCAGGACGTATAGAATGTAATGTAAGTACTTGACTAATATTTAAACAAGAAATGTTTAGGACTAATTTAAAAATTATCGCGCCTATATACTTGTTTTTCAATATAGCTACATTCGTACAGTGGTATAATAAACGTTCAGTTCTGTAATACCAGAGAGCATGATATATAGGAGTAGATTCATTTCTATTTTCTATATATATCTTTACACAAAATGTAATTGATTAGTTAGTATCCATTAAATACTATATGACGTAATCTATTCAAAGAATATTCCTAACCCGTGCTTTCTCCACTCGATTATTCTATCAGAGACGTGATCTTGCCCATTATCTTTTTTCTTCAAATCAAGTGCATCAAATAACACTTTCACTGAAACACACTCCTAAACGCGATAGTCGCTGAAAAATTATAGAGAAGGAATAATCTTACAAAGAACTTTTCTTTCCCAATGCTGATTCATCATTTTATGATGTCTTTTATGTATACGCGCCATACAAAAACATGATTAGAATAAGTGATCTATAAATCTCATATAGAAGCAATGATCATATAGAACAATGACCAATAATAATACATAATTTTATAATATCTTTCATGAATACGCGCCATACACATGGTAGAAAGCGATCCATAGATTTTAAATTTTGTTGGTCGATAGTAAGTTCTACAACCCACTTATCTGCTTATCTACCAATAGATATCTTATAATATCTATTGGCATTGACAATTTGACAAATGACAGTCCGATCTCAATACTGAGATAATTGTTCTTATTATGAAATAGTAAGTGATATGTATAATCCTTAGTAACCACAAGACCATTCAAGCAACGTGAAGACTTTTCTGCACATTTTTTTTAGAGATCAGAAAAGGTAACAAAGATAGTAAGCTTTCTATATCCAATGAATGCGACAACATATTTACTTTGCACAGATATGAAGGTGAGACATTGAAGATGAGACGAATTTTTCTTTATAAGCGATAAACATTTGGTGGAAATCGATGCTATGTTCGGGACCTACGACAGTACGAATAATTATGTTCTTATGGGTGAAACGACTTGATTTAAAACCATTCTCATAGAGTCCGAACAGTGAGTCGACATATAAATTTCAATCTCTCATAGCCACAGGTGTTAGGTTTAACGATTAACTAACCGGTTGTACTTTCGGTCATCTATATACTCTATATCTACACATCTGGATTTCTTTTCGATTATGACTTTTCGGAATTCATTTTTTGTTATATTAAAAGATATTCGTTTTAAAACATTTAATGCCTTTCGCCCTATTAAGTTGCGTATATTCGTAACTACATTATTAATGAACCGCTACTGCTATCGTCTGAAAAAAAAACACTTTGGGTCCTTCCTTTTTTGATGGGCTTGACTTAAATTTTTACTTTATAAATAAAATAACAACTACAAGTGAAAAATTTAGTAATTTCTTTGATTTTTGCATTCGTAAACAGTTTCAATAAATATTTTTACTTTCCCAGGCCTATTTTCAGGCGCATTTGCCAAATCCAATTATCGCTAATGCAAGTACAACAAGTACATTATGCCAACCCTTACCGAAATCAATCCATTTTCGCTCTCACATTTTTATTTGAACCAACATTGCGTGAAAAGTATCGCGTTTACGCGGTTCGTTTTTCACCTTTAAACGAAAAATAAACTTATTTTTTCAATAAAATATTTGATTAAAAATAATTGAATATAAAGTGTTAAATAAACAGTGGAACTAATCTATAATATTTATAAAAATTAAAAACAAAATCTCCAGAACTAATCTGAAATATTTTTTCGTGATGTGAGAAATTTAAATGGTTGATATTTAAAGTGATATTGAAGGAGTGATGTGTATACTTTATCTATATTTCAAAGAAAATCACCTACTAATTTACTTGTAATTCCGAAATGTTAAAGCCATGCCTTTCATAGATTGACTCGGCAAGCGAATTCTTATGAACTTTATTAGTAATTAGACTGCTCCAGTATTGAGACAGTATTTAGATTAAGCGTTTTTTGTATTAAACTTTGAAACTCACTAAGATAGATTTTAATATAATTAAAATCTACTAAGGACTATATAACATAATGGGTCATTATTTGTGAACAAGTGAGCCTTACACCATTCTTATCTAGCCTAACCTAAACTTAGACTACATGGTGCAACATTGTCATGGAAACACACAGTCTAAAGCTCACTAAGAGCTATGTGCCATGATAATGGATAGTAACTGAAAATAAAAAATAAAAAATTATAACGCTAAAACTGTAGAAAAATTAATTAAAACTTCAAATCAATCAATTTCAATAGATAGATCAATAGACTAATTGATAGACAAAAATAGAAATATTTTTTCCATCTTAAAATAAAATCACCTCCAGATCATTTTCAACATTTAAATAATAAAATAAAAAATAAATGTCTTATTTCTTCTTAATATTAGTTCCCGCTCTATTGTCCTCTTTAATGAATCCATCAATTAATTATTATTTTACTCAACTGTTTTCACTGTTTTAACCTTGAAATACGTATATTCCATGTTTTGCGGAAAGAGAAAATTAATTTAATTTTTTCTATTTTTTTCATAAAATTTTCTTGCAAAAAATCACGAATTTTAATGAAAGTGACTATATCAGGTCCTTGACTTTGTACACTGAAGGCCTCCATATTGCAGAGGGTAAAACTAAAAGACGAAAAAGAAGACAACAACAGAGAAATATTGAATGCGGTCATTTCCGTTAAAAAGGCTGTAAAATGTGCTTGTAATTTGGT